CCCTCCGCGCTCATGCCCGGCCCGGCCCGCGGCGGCCGGCGCGGGGGTGGCCGCTCGGCGGGGGTGGCCGCTCGGGGCCCCGACTGCTGGCGGGGGCTGCGGGCTGGGAGCGTGGAGGCGCGGACGATCTGCTCTGCTCCTCCGCTCGCCTCTCCTCTGCTCTCCTCTGCGCTCGGCTCCTCCTCTCCTCTGCTCGGCTCCGCTCTACTCCCCGGCTCCTCCCCTCCCGCCCCTGCCCTTCGCCCGCCGCCCCTCTCAGCCCTGCCTCCGGCCGCCCGGTCCCGGCGCGCACGTCACGAGCGCGAGTGAGCATGCGCCCCGCGGCCCGCCGCCCCCGCCCCGCCACACCCGCCCTCGCACACCAGGCGCGCGCGCCCGGCCCGCCCTCCGCGTCCCTGTCCCCATCCCGCCCCTGGAGCGGGGAGGACCGGAGGACTCTGGGGCTGAGGCCGAAGGCCGGCGGGCGGGGAGAACTCCCTGTTGCTTCCGCCTCCCGGGGCCTGGCCTGGGGCCGGGGCGCGGGGACGGTGCGCCCTGCGGAAGGAAACCTCGGCCTGCGTCCCGGCCCCCGGCTCCGACGCTCGCCTGAAACTTCTGTCTCCTTCCGGAAGGCCGGATGGCGGGCGCTTGGTCGCTAGGGGCGCGGAGGGTGCCCGCGTGGCGCGGGATCGGGTTGGGCGGGAGACCCGCTAACCGGGTCAGGGTGGCGCGCTGGTGCCGAGCCAGTCCCCACGCGTGTTTGCTCCTGCTCTGCAGGTCGTGCTTCAGGTGGCTGCCCAGTTTCGCTCAGCTTCGGTGCGCAGGGGTGAAGGTCAGCCTAGGGTCTGCCACCTGAGATCCTTCCTCTCTGAAACCCGCGCCCTCCCTCGCCCTTGCCTCCAGGCCTTCGGTCTCCTGAGTTGTAAACTGACGGGGCCGAGGGGTTGGAACCGTTCCCGAACCTGTTGCACTAGCTGGCAGCCCGGCTGTGCCGCCCTCTCCCGGGCTGGCCCGTGCGGCTCCCTCCTGCCCTGGCCCAGGAGGCAGGCCACCCGGAGGCCAAGTCTGGGAGGGAAGTCGCGCGGTGCGCCCGGCCTCCAGGTTCCCCCCCCCCGCCCCGGGCACCACGCTTGGTGCTGCCCACTCTGAACCAGACAGAACTGCTCCTGAGAGCACCGACACCATGACTTCACTCCCCGGGGCTGTTTCTGTTTTCCCAGCGGAGAAACAGACTCTCTTCAGCTCCACACTCAGCTTTGTTTTAACTGAGGTGCTTTGCTCCAACTTCTCGTCCGGCTGCCTCCCGGCCATCTTGTGACACCTGAGTGGCAGAGGTGGGAGGGGCAGTGCCCCCGCCCTGGGAGGGAGGTGATGGGGTGAACGTCCTCCTGGCTGGTGGTGGAAGAGAAGCCATATTGCCTGCCGGCTTTCTGGACCAGGAGCCTAGAAATGAGTGGCTTAAGGGGAGGAGTGACTACCCTCTACCTGGGTTCTGAACGACCTTCCTTCAGTAAAACACTCCAGTTCTCGGTCAGCTCACACATTGTTTCTCCTCATTGCATCCAAATCTCTCTGCCCTTCTCGGTGTTGCTCTGACCAGGAGGCCGGTGGTTGTCCTCAGTGGGCCTTCCCCAACAGGGCTGCCTGCTGCAGGCTGAAGACCGTGGAGGGTGTGGGCATGCCCTTCCCCTCCGGCCTGGCCTCCCCCGGGGCCTGCAGTAGTGTGGCCCTCTGTGAGGACAGTGCCTGGAGACCTTCCTTTTCCACTGTGTCATCTTGGGTCAGGCTCCAAGAACTCGTCTTCTCCCCCTGGCCTCCATGGCCTCCCGCTCCCGCCGTCCCTGGGCAGCGGAACCCCGGGATGGGTCCCTCTGTCACACTGTCTCCCAAATCTCCCAAGAAGACCCCTGCGTCCTGCCAGGACCCTGGTGGCTAGGGCCAGATTTTGACTAGCCTTCTACCTTACCAACTGTGACGTTTGAAGGGTGTGTGGGTACAAGCAGACATCAGGCAGGGTTGCTGGCTGAAGGCTGCCTGTCACCCAGGAGTGTCTGTTTCAGTCAAGGGCGAATGTTAATTTCATGTTGTAGCAGCCGCTCGCCCCCTGTCCTCGCCGGCAGACACCCGTCTGGTCCAGGAACCTGCCCTCTGCATGGTGTGGGGCCAGCCCTCGTTCCTGTAAGCCTTCCTTTCCCATGACTGGTTTAAAACAAGTCTAAGCCAATGAATCCTGCTGTGGGGGAAAAAAAAAAAACCTTTCCTCACTCTTAAAAAGGCACATGAAGAGGAAGGGCTCCCTGTTTCCTGCTGGCTGTGTCTGGATGCGACGGCTGGTACCTGCAGCCTTCTCGTGTCCGTGCCAGGAGGCAGCTTGAGGAACATCCTCACGGTGGGGACGGCAGCGTGGGAAGATGGGAGGAAGCATGATCCTTGATGACACCATTGGCCGCTCACCTATCCTGCCGCCCCTGTCAGCGTCTTCATTTAAAACCTATGGAAACAAATCAGTTAGACTCTATTAAAATCCAACTCACCCTGTGAGTCCGTTGTTTATTTCTGTAGAACAAACCACCGCAAACTTGAGAGCTTCAACAACAACAAGCACTTCATTCTCAGGACCCCATGGTTTGGCAGAATGGCATCTCTGCTCCTCCTGGTGTTGACTGGGATTGTTCGTGGGGGACTCAGTGGGACCTGGAGGCTTCAGAGGCTTCAGTCACACATCCAGTGTCTCAGCTTGGGGGATGAGAAGCGGGAGCAGGCTGGCCTCTGTCTCTCCATTCGGTTTCCCATCACAGACATCATGGAATGGTCTAGCCTCGGCTTCTTTACATGGCGGCTGGATCCCAAGAGGGTCAAAGTGGACACTGTATGGCCCCTAAATGGAACACTCCTTCTGCCACATTCTCTCCGGGAAAGTAGGTTCCAAAGCCAACCCAGATTCAAGGAGAGGAACCGAAGAGACTTCACATCTTGGTGGGAGGAGGGCCTGGCACCAAGAGAGGAGAGACCCTGTGAGTCGTCATCTTGGAAACCATCTGCATAGCAGACTTCAGCAGTAGGATGTTTTGCCAGCATCACGCTAAGCCCAAGTGAAATGGCTGTGGGAAGCTCCAGGGCCTATGTGTTTCTTCATTCACACCAGGGGCAGAGAATCTTCAACTCTGACCGGATCAGCTAAGTCCTGTGCACAGTCCTGGCCAACCAATCATTAGGATGGTGGAATGCCATTAGATGATCAGCTGAGGCCTGGGTTCAGTGCACGCCCACGACTCATAAGTGTCCAAGGGGAATGGAATGATCTTAATCAGCTTCAGGTCTTCAGGAACCCCCCTCCTCACCCTCCACCACCAACCCCCCAGCAGTGTGGCTGCTTCACCACAGTGGAGTGCAGTGTGAATGGGGAGGCGGGCAGCAGACAGGATGCAAAACCCAGAACATAAATCAAATTATGGGTTTGCCTCTGGATGCCCACGCTACATGCACACCCACACCTGTGCACAGACTCATAAACGCTGCTCTCTGTTCCTCCCCTCCACCTTGGAGAGGACTGGGATGGTAACCCAGGATCTTGGATTCATTGACTTCTAAGTGAAAAAGGGTTTCGGGAGGGGCGCCTAGGTGGCTCAGTTGGTTAAGTGTCCAACTGATCTCAGCTCAGGTCTTGATCTCAGGGTCATGAGTTAAGTCCCACATTGGACTCCGTGCTAGGCATGGAGCCTACTTAAAAAAAAAAATTTTTTTTTTAAAGAAAATTTAAGATAGTCAAACTATGGAAAGAGCCCAGATGTCCACTGACAGATGAATGGATAAAGAAGATGTGCTATATATATACAACGGAGTACTACTCAGCCATCAAAAAGAATAAAATCTTGCCATTTGCAACGATGTGGATGGAACTGGAGGGTATTATTAGGCTAAGCAAAATAAGTCAGTCAGAGAAATTCAATTATATGATTGCACTCATGTGGAATTTAAGAAACAAAACAGAGGATCATAGGGGAAGGGTGGGAAAAATAAGATGAAATCAGAGAGGGAGACAAACCATAAGAGACTCTTAACTCTAGGAAGCAAACTGAGGGTTACTGGGGGCTGTGGGGGGTTGGGGTAACTGAAGGATGGGCACTAAGGAGGGTACGTGATGCAGTGAGCACTGGGTGTTGTATGCAACGGATGAATCACTAAATTCTACCTCTGAAACTAATAATACAGTATATGTTAATTAATTTAAATAAAAGAAAAAAGACTTTTGGGAAATAGGGGGTGTGCAACCTTCCCATAAAGACGGTTCAAAGAAATTATTGTTACTGACACCTCGAATGACAAACCTGAAGCCAAACTGACTACTAAAAACATAGAACAGGGAAGTAGGAGTTGACACATTTTGTTTTTGTGTGGGAAGAAGGGCAGGCACCATGTATCGGGGCGCTGGGCCCCCTCCGTGAGCAGTCTCGCTCCTCCAAGCTGCTGGAACATTCTGTACCCCTCTCTCAGGCCACTGTCCCTGCAGGTCAGGAATTGTGGGGGTGCCATCTTCCCATGGATTGGTTCTAGAATTCTCCAACGGCAGAAAGCCACAGGCTCCCTCTGGCCTCCGTCATCCCTTTGGTCTGGAATCTTCTGTGGCACCCTGTGTTTGTCCCACAAACCTACTCATCCTTTATAGTCACTACAGCTTGCTCAGCTCCCTCTCAGAACTTAGTTACCACCTCCCTTAGCGCTCTTAATATCACCAACTCAGCATAACTTAGTTGTTTGTCCAAAAGCCCTGCTTGTTGATTAAAATCACCCAGGGAGATTTTTTTTTTAAACAGAGATTCCCTGGGACCCCTCCCCCTAGCCCAGACGCTGTGATTCTATTGGTCTAGAGTGGGGTCCCAGCATCAGGGTCTTTTAAAAGCTCCCAGATATGGCAGGTTTGAGACCTGCTAGTCC